GGTCATTTGTGCTTCAAACGAAAACTCTGGGCTGGTTTGTTCGATGAACCATTGGTTTGTTGTTTTGGCTGTCTTCTCAGGAGTCCTCTCCAACTTTCAAAAACCATCTGTTGTCTTCTGATCATCTTCAAAACATCACTTTTGCTTCGATGGAGTGTCTAGGACTGCATTGGCTTTTGGGGCAGCTGCAGCACACTGCTGGCTCTCATATGAGTTGATGCCTTTCACTGGGGAAGGAGTAGGGGCCCTTGAATGTGCTACTCCTGTTTGGATAAAAATGTGGCCTCTTCTATTCCAAATCTTCACAGACTTTGCTTTCTACTTTTTGTTTCCCAACCTTTATGGCTGCTGAGATGTAGCTGATCCCTTTCCTTTCCTCTCATCGATGTGATATAAAAACCATCCATAAATGTCTACGGGATTCCTGGCTTGGCAGCTCAGGGCTAAGTGAATTAATAAGGCTTTTCACTCTCTCTGTACAAGTTGAACGGGGAAAGTGTATATGCAAAAAAGCAAAATGCCTTCAGGGCAGCTTCTTTTATTGTGACTCTAATTAAGCCCTTGCCAATTTGCACTGGGCCATCTTCCTATTCTAGTTGAAAGCCCTATTAATATCTGTGTGTTGCCGTTTCCATTTATCCGTTCTTTAAAATACGGCTTAAAAGGAGGAGGAAGAAGAGGAGGAGGAGAAGGAAAAGAAGATGGAGGAGGAGATGGGAGGAGGAAGAAGGAGAGGAGGAGGAGGAGGAGGAGNAGAAGAAGAAGAAGAAGAAGAAGAAGAAGAAGAAGAAGAAGAAGAAGAAGAAGAAGAAGAAGAAGAAGAAGAAGAAGAAGAAGAAGAAGAAGAAGAAGAAGAAGAAGAAGAAGAAGAAGAAGAAGAAGAAGAAGAAACAACTATATTGGCAGTGCTTGAGGAAAGCAAGATTAAGAAAAGTTGTTGGAAAATAGATATTTTTGTCAATAGATTAGGATGGTTGAATCAGAGGAAGCTTCTTGGACACTTTCATGGAAGTCTCTGCTGGGCATGGACAATCCAGAACTAGGTTGTTCTCAAGGAACAAGAAGGATGCTCCTCTTGAAGACAACTCATGCATTTTTGCAGAATACGGTTGTGCCAATCCTTCATGGTTCATATTTGTGACTTGCTAAGTCAAATCAATTCGATTCCAACTTAGATTTTGTTTGCGCTTCTATTCCAGATCTGCTTTGATCAGGAGGGCCTGTTCCTCATGGGCCTCACACCCTATGGGGACCACAACATTTCAGGTGATTAGTGCTAAGTACACCTGGAGACCAACCAGGTCAAGAACAGCCCCCCCAACATCTGCTAAACCCTACATCTGCTCCCATCCCTGGAAATGATGGACATCTTAGGATTTGCTGAAACTCAAAGCAATTCCTTTCCAAGCCCAATTCTCCATGAATCTCTTTAGGAAGATCAGTTGAGGAGAAACGGATGGGATGCTAAGAATTCCAGCAACTCAACCATTTCCGAACTCGAGGTTTCTTGATTACTTTCTCAAGAATCTTTCTTTCTAAAGTGTCAGGTCTCTTCACAGTTGCTTATTTATACAACGGCTTCTCTTAAAAGAATAGCATCTTTTTTTTCTCTGGATGTTTGTTGGGAACCACGCTTTGAAATGCACACCTACGCAATTCTGTTTCTATTTTCTTTTTCATGGAAAGCAGTTACGGCGGCCACTTTTTCTTTGGCATGAGTAGAAGTTGGAGAAGAATGGAGGTCATCCTCACAGGTGGAAAAATGCCGCTTGCACTGAAGTCAAGCAGAGACTTCATTAGCTTAAAAAATAGGCTATGTAAGTCCTGAGTTAATACCAAGAACATGGTTAAGGGGCGCAGTCACTTTACCGTAATTGAATTTTTGTGTTGTCTTTGTAAGAAATGACCAGTTCTTCTGGGGTGACCTTCTTGGAAGATACCTTCACCCTAGCCAAGACTGACGTGGACCCAGAAGGTAAGAAACACCTGCTACGGCCAACTTTAGCTTCCTGTAGGAACCATATCTAGTAGCGAAATAACTCCATTCTCTTTTCCTCTTGCTATCGTTCATACTCCTTGCTTTGTGCTTTGTGCTCTAGGGTGTGTTGATGTGAGCTGAGATGGCTAGAGGGAGCTTCAGAAGTAGTGGTAGACCCCAAAGATGGTGCTAAGAAGCGATGAAATTGTCCTTGGTTCAACTGCTTGGATGTTTTGAGAAGACATGGGAAAGGATGCTTCCTCCATCACAATGTTTCCCACAAAGGAAAACAAAGTGATGTGTAGCCCAGGAGCTGTTTAGCATTTGGATTGAGTCTCTTTGTGCAGTGTTTGTGTCATGCTGATAGACACGGCTTCCATGATAACAAGGGGACCTTGAATGCCTTGGGGAATGTCAAATTGTCTGCATGCATTAGGAAACGGGTTTGGTCTGGATGGGGATCAGCATGGCACCAGTTTAAATGAAACTGTACAATGGTGTTGAAGTGCTTGGTTCAGGGGGTCTCCAAACTTGACAACTTTTAAGACTTGTGGACTTCAACTCCCAGAATTCCTCAGTCAGCCAGTTGTAAGTCACTTTTTTTCAGCGCCACTGTAACGTCAAATAGTCATTGAACGAATGATATGCAAGTCAAAAACTACCTGTATTCAGGTATAGCTACCAGATTGGGGTTGCAAATGTCCAGTAGGGGGCAGCAGGGAAATATAAAACGCTGCCCTCTAGCAGTTGGTAGGAGTTGCGCAGGCCAGATGGGACTGTCTTCATTAAACTAAACACATCTATATTTAGCCTTGTTCTAACCTATCGCTCCCGTGTTTTCAACTCATGAGTGATGGAGAAGAGGGAAAAGGAGAAACATGGCTGCAACTCAGCCAGGTGTTCAAATTGCAGGCAAATATGCTTTATTTAGAAGCAATTTCACAAGGAGCCGTCTCAGAACATGCTCGGAGCGATCCAAGGGCAGACGTAATTGAGTACCTTGGCATCCTGGTTTGACACACTCAAACCTAATTAGACGATCCTTTACATTTTTAACCTGCTTTCTTCTCCTGCATGGAGCTGTTTCCCAAATCCCCTGGGATAGGCAGGTGGGTGGGTGGGTGGGTGGTTAAGATAACGGCAGTCAGGGTCCCCGCATTGTGGGAAAAAATGATCCTCTTCGAAGACCACCTGCAGAGCGAGGCTGCCTCCTCACCACCCTACTTTTAAATGAAATGCTAAATCAACGGAAACCTTTTTAAAACTGATAAGTTTTCAGCCATGGTAAGGGAGAATCCTAAAGCATCTCAAGTGAGAAACCTGCAGGGTGATAAGATGGCTGATCTGTAGAGTAGAGTAGAGTAGAGTAGAGTAGAGTAGAGTAGAGTAGAGTAGAGTAGAGTAGAACAGAAAATAGAATAGAATAGAAAATAGACTAGAGTAGAATAGAATAGAACAGAAAATAGAGTAGAGTAGAGTAGAACAGAAAATAGAATAGAAAATAGAGTAGAGTAGAATAGAACAGAAAATAGAGTAGAGTAGAGTAGAGTAGAGTAGAGAACAGAATATGGAATAGAATAGAATAGAAAATAGAACAGAATAGAACAGAAAATAGAGTAGAGTAGAGTAGAACAGAAAATAGAATAGAATAGAAAATAGAATAGAACAGAACAGAAAATAGAATAGAATAGAAAATAGACTAGAGTAGAATAGAATAGAACAGAAAATAGAGTAGAGTAGAGTAGAGTAGAGTAGAGTAGAGAACAGAATATGGAATAGAATAGAATTCCTTTAACCCTGGCCAAAAAAAGCCGGTAAAATCCGGCGTGAGCCACTTCACAACTGCTTTGTTTAGCAACCAAAATTCTGATCCCAACGGTGACGATCAACCGAGGATTAGCTGGATCCGGTTTTCCGTCCCTCTCCCAGTCTATTCAGCCCAGTTTTGAGGGTTCAAGAGTCCCGCCGTATCCCACTTGCTTTCCTCAGCCTGCGAGGAGAGCTAGGCGTCCCTTTCTTTACCAGCTGCCAAGAGAGTTGCTCTTTCCACCGCACAATTCTGTTTTTCCACCCACGCTCTGGTACCTGCTGCTGACCCTCAGCTGGGGCGCATGGTTTACGTGCTGTCTCATTCAGAGGCTTCAGAACAGGACCGCTGGCGGTGAGTCTCTGGGCAGGAGAAAAAAAAGCTGTCAAGCCCAGATCACTGGGTGATCAGAAAAGGATGCTGACGCAGAGATTGGCAGGGACGGTACCCTGGGCAGTGGTGTCCAAGGAGTTACGCTCCTTTCTTCTTCCCTCCTACGAATTGTATCTTGCAGCACACACCTGTTCTAAGCTTGCCAGGCAGCAGACAGCTCTTGAACCCGCCTCCCAGCTGCCTGATGTTTTCATTCCTTCTGATCTAAGAGGCAACTTGAAAGGAGGACGGGAGTTGCAAGGCATTTTGATTGTCCAAAAGGAGAGGCAGGTGCCCCTGGATGGCTTGGTGGGGTTTCTCAGCCAGGAAGGGGAGGGTGGGCACAGGAGCCAGAAAGCTGGCAGCCCTGCCAACATCTCCATCTGCTCAAATTTTCAACTTCCAAGGATCTCGAGGAGGTTCAGTCAATGTCACGCTTGCCATCTAGGTGGTTGTAAAATCTCGACTCCCGTTTTGAGATGGTCCAAGTAACGGGGATTTAGTTACACACAATTCTGGCCTGCTGAGTGGATGGGTGGGAGGGAGGGAGGGAGGGAAGGAAGGAAGGAAGGAAGGAAGGAAGGAAGGAAGGAAGGAAGGAAGGAAGGAAGGACAGCCTTTTATCTATTCGTTTAGCGCAATGATTTTTATACAGCCATTCTTAAAAGATTCCTAGCCAGGAGCAGACAAGAGAGATGTCCCCCCCCAAAAAAAATTAGAAAAAAAAAATTAAAAGGAGGAACCCCAATTTGACAATAGCTTGTGTTTGTGGACAAGGGAAGGGAACGAGAGAGAGAGAAAAAAAAGATTTGTTTTGTTTTGTTTTTAAACATTATTCTCAAGTTTTGCCCGAGACTTCCAGAGTCATTGAGATCAAACCTGAATCTGATGTCCGGGTCCCTCTTGAAACGTTTCAAGGTAAGACGAGGATAAACGGGGCAGCGAATTGGTTGAAATGGAAAACCTGTGAAGCATCCAGAGAAGATGGAGCCACAAGGTCTCCTTCACCGATTATTATTATTATGTATTATTATAAGTAATAAAGTCTGACATCGGTGGTGGAGTTCACTGGGGCTCCATTTCTTGTATGTAGTAAATCAGCACATCCTGCCTTAACGTGTCACGTGTTTCCCTGAAAGTCTGAGACCGTGAAGCTCTTGAGGATTTATCCTCTCAACTTATTTAGAGATTGGGGGGAACCTGGTTTAATTGTTGTTTGGTCGTTCACTCTTACCCCAACTAAGGGAACAGAATTCAGTCTAAACCTTAGAATTATGTTGTGTCAAGAATTTGATTTCATTCTTGCATGTAATGAACTAGCACATCCTGCCTTAACGTGTTACGTGTTCCCTGAAAGTCTGAGTGAATTTATCCTCTCAACTCATTTTGAGTTTTGGGGAGCCTGGTTTAATACTTCTTTGGTTGTTCTCTCTTACCCCAACTAAGGGGAGAGAATTCAGTCTCAACCTTAGAATTATGTTGCGTTGGGAGGTCACGTCAAGGATTTTCTTTTAAGATAATGAGCCTTCACACTTTCAGCTGCCTTGTCTGGTGAATGTTTCGATGGCAAAGCTCTTCTTCTAAACTAAGCAAGGTCGCCTCTGAACCTCGGCAAAAAAGGGCCGTCTCACACTGGCCAGGCAACATTGTGGGGAGGGGGACGGAGTTGCAAAGATGACACCATACAGCGGAATGAGAAGAACCTAGAGTCTCTTCAAGGAGATTCTTAGGTTATTGACCATCTTAGGGCTTCCTGTGTAGACCATCGAGAAGTCCTCTTTGAATCTGTCACTACAAAACATTGCATGGTTTAAACTTAGCATCGTGGAGAGGACACCTCACCCTGTCTGCTGACACCAGCCTTTGCACCTGGATAGAAGGTCATTGTGATTGAGATGGTCCACCTACTCAAGCCAACTTGGCCCTCTTTGTTGTTCTAGAAGCATTGTCCCATTGCAGTCTGAGTGTCCTCCCATTTTAGCTCACTTTCTCACCTAAAAAAGCCCCACAGGTGGTCGTTTCAACATAGTCTTCCTCAAGTCGAAGCTGATAGGACCCTTTCACTTAATAGAAGCTGCAAACTTCAGGCTAATAGGACCCTTCTTTTTAGAGAAGCCGCAAACCGTGGGGAGAGAAAAAAGCACACACACGGTCTTCTGGTTGCATGTTCCCTCAAATGTTTCCCAGATGTGTCTTCTCCTTCTGCCTTGCTTCTTTGTCTTTCCGTAAGGTTCTCCACAAAGTTGTGGGTGAAAGAAAATCCACCCAACTGAATGCAAAGCTGGGCGTCTCTACCGCTCACTTTTAGAAGCTGTTTGTTCTCTCAACTAGCTTTCATACCACCTGATGATTAAGACAACGCTCATTCTTTTCTTTTCTTTTTTTCTTTTCTCCTCCCTGCGGCCTGGCCTTGCAGACTGTGAATGTTACGGGCATTCCAACCGGTGCAGCTTCATCGATTTCCTGAATTTAGTGACCTGCATTAGTTGTAAGCATAACACGCGGGGACAGCACTGCCAGTATTGTCGGCTTGGCTACTTCCGAAATAGCTCCGCGGAGCTGGACGATGAGAATGTTTGTGTAGGTGAGTAGGAACAGAAATGTTGGGCTCAGCTGTGCTCATAAATCAAGGACTCAGCTGTCTATCCAGGATCACTCCTCCTCCTCACTAGTAGTTGGGGGGACTTCACACCCCAACACCTTAAGGGAGATGTAGGATGGAGGTTACACATCATCCAAAAGTTAAGAAGAGGTCCATACACACTAGATCTCCAGAGATGCTCTCAGTCTCGTCTTCATAAGAATTAGGGATGACTTTCTGGGGTTTTTTTTCCCACCGCAGATCTGACTTTACTGGTCTGTTGTTTCTCCCAGATTGCAACTGCAACCGAATTGGCTCACTGGCTAACCGTTGTAATGAGACCGGCTATTGCGAATGCAAAGGTGGTGGCGTGACGGGGCCGAAATGTGACGATTGTCTGCCCGGCTACTATTGGAGGCAAGGTTGCTTACGTAAGTATGATCCTTTTTCTGAATGAATGTGTTGCAGTTGATTTGCAGACCTGAACCCCAGCTGATTCAACCAGAGAGTTCCTCAACTTTTGGTGGCTTTAAGAAATGTGGACTTCCTAGCCAGCAGGCTTTACGACGAGTGGAATTCTGGGAGTTGAAGTCCATGCATTTTCAAGCAAGCTGGCTAGGGAATTCTGGGAGTTGGCGTTCACATGTGGTAAAGCAAGCTGGCTGGGGAATTCTCCAGCATGACGAGTGGAGAATCCACCAACGGGGTTTTGCTTGTCTTCTGCCCATAATGCTGAGAAAAGGCGTTCAGGTAAGACAACGCCCCTTCTGGGACTTCAAGTCCATGCACCTTAAAGCAAGTTGGCTGGGGAATTCTGGGAATTGAAGTCCACTCATCTTAAAGTCATCAAGGTTGAGTAATGCTGCCTTCCACCTCATCCAGACCTGCCTCTCATTCCTGACTCAACCTGCTCAGTCCTGCAAATCTAACTGCCCTTTTCAGAACCCCTCAATCCTCACTTGCAAAAGCTTTATTGTCCATCCCTTTGAGTTTTAATTTGGGGGAGCAGCCCCCAACCTCCCCCCCAGCTTCTGAATCCTAGCACTTCCAATGCCCCCCCTTTTCTCTGCAGCCAACATCTGCGATGACGAGCTCCTGATTTGCCAAAACGGAGGCACATGTTACGAGAACCAGCGCTGTCTCTGCCCGCCAGGAACCAAGGGCGTCCTGTGTGAACAAACTAAATGTGAAAGGGAAGATACGGAGTGCGACTCCGTCTCCGGGACGTATCTCAGCCTTTCGGCCTTTGTGGCCAGCGCGGTTGGCCTACACATGCAGCAACTGTTGGACCTCTGAAGGACAAGGGGGGGAAAGTGCTCCGTCAAAATCCCACGGGAAGCCTCGAGCGGAAGCGAGAAAGGACGGGACCGCTTGAAAACGTTGCGAGTGCAGAAGAAACATCACCCAGCGGAGCTGGTGTCTTCTTGGGCCTTATTAGTCAAGAGTTGAAGGATTCAAAAGAAGTTCCTGCTCCTCACCGAGGTCTTTGGTTGGACGTAGTTGAAGGAACATAGATACCTTTTATGGTGTCCACCCAACCAGGAAAGGACATCTCAACAGGACTTTTTTGGGGGGAATGCAAATTGTTTGCAATTTTCCAACTATCTTCATGAGGGGAAAATTGTCCAGAGCTCTCCTTTGCACAGGGGTAGCTTCCAAAAAGGGATGGGATGGGGGCGGATTGCCCTCAGTTATCTTGCGTTTATGTTGCGCTGCTTCTTCCCTTCCAAATCTCTTCTTTCTTCCAGCCCAATTTTTTAGGAAGACGTAGCTGAGCGAAACGGAGGCTGGAAAGTACAAAATTGGAAAAGAAGGAACGTTATGGGACCTTTTTCCTCTTGTGCAGTTAGGCCTCAAAAGATAACGTGGCCTCTCAAAAAAATAATAATAATCAAATTGCTGAATTTATTAAGTTTTCTTTTCTTTTGGACTCATTTTCCTTTTTTTACTCTTTTGGTTAAGAGTCTTCGGCTTTCAACACTGGTTTTTTATTACGCAAAAAAAAAAATATCATGTTCCTCCGGGCTTTGCCGAATCGATTACGGTTCAATTCGTTTCTTTCTTTTTCTTTTTTTTGGGTAGAGAATTATATTTGTTGGAATTATAAATGTTCTAAAGAAGAGTGGGGAAGGGGAGATTTAAAAAACAAAACAAAAAAACAATCAGGTGAACTACTACAGCCTTTAGAGAAAAAAAAAAAAATTTTACCTGAAATATTATGGTGTTATAATCCATTACATAAAAGCAACTTATTAATTGCTGTTAGGTCTCGGATTATTATTATTTTTTCCTTCTTCCCAGCTTTGCAGATTTAACTCGTTCGTTGGTGGGCATGCCTCCAAAAAGATTGGGATAAAGGACGAATGATGGCCACTTTGCATTTCCTGATGCCAAAGATGGATTGGCTAAGAGTTTGCACAGTGCT